CCTCCCCACCCTGCCCCAGCCCCACCCTCCCCACCCAGCCCCTCCCCACCCAGCCCCTCCCTGCACGACGGACGGACGGACACAATAATCCCCTGTGGCCTGGTGTAACCAGGAGGTTCCTACCAGTAGAAACAAAAACTTTTAAAAATTCCATTTGACCAGGTAGTGAACTGCTACGTAGCTCAAAAGCGACCCTGCCCATAACAACTCAACCAAATGTCGGCTTATCATCATCACCATCATCATGTGGACATTCATAGCGGTAGCCACATACTTTCCAAACACGTAGAGGCACGCGCAGACCAATAGAGACGCATGGAGACCCACAGAAATGACCCAAGATGAATACAGACCCGCAGAGACACATAGAGACTCACAGACTAAACTACAAATATATTAATCTAGAATTGAAGATTTCGTGACTGCAGAAATTATACTCATTGGGTTTTTTTCCGGTAAAGTAACGTATGTAGAAAGAAAAGAACATTTTAATAAATTAAATTTAAATAAAATAATTTGATTTTATTTATTTAAATTTTAAATGAATTACATTTAATTTAAATAATTTAATTTTAACAAATAAAATTTTATTTTGATATAATTTACTTTTAATCATTTAAATTTTCTTTTATTTCTACATACGTGACTTTACCGAAAAAATAACAATGAGTACAATTATATTAGATTGAGTTGCTACACTCATCATCATCATCGTCACTTGGACATTTATAGCGGTAGCCAAAAACACACAGAGACACGTGCAGACGCACAGAGACACAACGAGACCCACAGAGATACATAGAGACCCATAGACTAAACTACAATAAAACCGATTTAAAGCTTTCGTGACTGCAGGGATTCATCTTCTTGGTTTTTTCGGTAAAGTCACGTAGAAGGGAAGTAATAAAATAATAAAAATAAAACATAATAAAATAAAATAATTCTCACCTGAAGACGGCTGCTTGCGTTGTAGCCGAAACGTCGTGAGAATTATTTTATTTTATTATATTTTATTTTTATTATTTTATTACTTCCCTTCTACGTGACTTTACCGAAAGAACCAAGAAGATGAGTACAATAAAACCATTGTGTGATTACTCTTTGGTTCTTGCGGTAAAGTCACGTAGGTATAAATAAATCACGACGTTTCGAGCGCAACACAAAAGCGTCCGTCATCAGGTGGGAAAGCATGGTCTGCTGCTCAGGCAGACTGTTCTAAAAAGGTTTGAAACGGGTGTAGCCCAAGGGTCATCAAGAAGTGGCCGGGGCTAGTGATGCTAATGTGAAAAATTTGTGTGATGTTAATGTGAGAGATTAGAGTGCACGGAAGTGGCTATGTTAATGTGAGAGATTAGCATGATGTTAATGTGAGAGATTAGCGTGATGTTAATGTGAGAGATTAGCATGATGTTAATGTGAGAGATTAGCGTGATGTTAATGTGAGAGATTAGCGTGATGTTAATGTGAGAGATTAGCATGATGTTAATGTGAGAGATTAGCATGATGTTAATGTGAGAGATTAGCATGATGTTAATGTGAGAGATTAGCATGATGTTAATGTGAGAGATTAGCATGATGTTAATGTGAGAGATTAGCATGATGTTAATGTGAGAGATTAGCATGATGTTAATGTGAGAAATTAGAGTGCACGGAAGTGGCTATGTTAATGTGAGAGATTAGCATGATGTTAATGTGAGAGATTAGCATGATGTTAATGTGAGAAATTAGAGTGCACGGAAGTGGCTATGTTAATGTGAGAGATTAGCATGATGTTAATGTGAGAGATTAGCATGATGTTAATGTGAGAGATTAGCATGATGTTAATGTGAGAGATTAGCATGATGTTAATGTGAGAGATTAGCATGATGTTAGTGTGAGAGATTAGCATGATGTTAATGTGAGAGATTAGCATGATGTTAATGTGAGAGATTAGCATGATGTTAATGTGAGATATTAGCGTGATGTTAATGTGAGAGATTAGCATGATGTTAATGTGAGAAATTAGCGTGATGTTAATGTGAGAGATTAGCATGATGTTAATGTGAAAAAATAGCATAATGTCAACGTGAGAAATTAGCATGATGTTAATGTGAGGGATTAGCATGATGTTAATGTGAGAGATTAGCATGATGTTAATGTGAGAGATTAGCATGATGTTAATGTGAGAAATTAGCATGATGGTAATGTGAGAGATTAGCATGATGTTAATGGGAGAGATTAGCATGATGTTAACGTGAAAAAATAGCATGATGTTAATGTGAGATATTAGCATGATGTTAATGTGAGAGATTAGCATGATGTTAATGTGAGGGATTAGCATGATGTTAATGTGAGAGATTAGCATGATAGTAATGTGAGAGATTAGCATGATGGTAATGTGAGAGATTAGCATGATGTTAATGTGAGAGATTAGCATGATGTTAATGTGAGAGATTAGCGTGATGTTAATGTGAGAGATTAGCGTCATGTTAATGTGAGAGATTAGCGTGATGTTAATGTGAGAGATTAGCGTGATGTTAATGTGAGAGATTAGCATGATGTTAATGTGAGAGATTAGCATGATGTTAATGTGAGAGATTAGCATGATGTTAATGTGAGAGATTAGCATGATGTTAATGTGAGAAATTAGCATGATGGTAATGTGAGAGATTAGCATGATGTTAATGTGAGAAATTAGCATGATGGTAATGTGAGAGATTAGCATGATGTTAATGTGAGAGATTAGCATGATGGTAATGTGAGAGATTAGCATGATGTTAATGTGAGAAATTAGCATGATGTTAATGTGAGAGATTAGCGTGATGTTAATGTGAGAGATTAGCGTGATGTTAATGTGAGAGATTAGCATGATGTTAATGTGAGAGATTAGCATGATGTTAATGTGAGAGATTAGCATGATGTTAATGTGAGAGATTAGCGTGATGTTAATGTGAGAGATTAGCATGATGTTAATGTGAGAGATTAGCATGTTGTTAATGTGAGAGATTAGCATGATGTTAATGTGAGAGATTAGCATGATGTTAATGTGAGAAATTAGCACGACGTTAATGTGAGGGATTAGCATGATGTTAATGTGAGAGATTAGCATGATGTTAATGTGAGAGATTAGCGTGATGGTAATGTGAGAGATTAGCATGATGTTAATGTGAGAGATTAGCATGATGTTAATGTGAGAGATTAGCGTGATGTTAATGTGAGAGATTAGCGTGATGTTAATGTGAGAGATTAGCGTGATGTTAATGTGAGAGATTAGCATGATGTTAATGTGAGAGATTAGCACGATGTGAATGTGAGAGATTAGCGTGATGTTAATGTGAGAGATTAGCGTGATGTTAATGTGAGAGATTAGCATGATGTTAATGTGAGAGGTTAGCATGATGTTAATGTGAGAGATTAGCGTGATGGTAATGTGAGAGATTAGCATGATGTTAATGTGAGAGATTAGCATGATGTTAATGTGAGAGATTAGCATGATGTTAATGTGAGAGATTAGCATGATGTTAATGTGAGAGATTAGCATGATGTTAATGTGAGAGATTAGCATGATGTTAATGTGAGAGATTAGCGTGATGGTAATGTGAGAGATTAGCATGATGTTAATGTGAGAGATTAGCATGATGTTAATGTGAGAGATTAGCATGATGTTAATGTGAGAGATTAGCGTGATGTGAATGTGAGAGATTAGCATGATGTTAATGTGAGAGATTAGCATGATGTTAATGTGAGAGATTAGCATGATGTTAATGTGAGAGATTAGCATGATGTTAATGTGAGAGATTAGCATGATGTTAATGTGAGAGATTAGCATGATGTTAATGTGAGAGATTAGCATGATGTTAATGTGAGAGATTAACATGTAACTGTAAGATAGGAGGAGAGGGGCCTCTTCGACAAGGGAGTGCAACCCAACGGGTGCAATCCATAGGGCCTGTCAGTATGAGAGTGCAATACAAAGGACATATGAGCATGAGAGTGCAATACAAAGGCATGAGAGTGCATTTCAAAGAATATGTGAGCATGAGAGATCTAAGAGAGAGGCACACAGAGAGTCAAAAACAACAGCTGACATAGGCAGGTAGGATGGAAACATCACAGTCAGTTAAGACTTTACCTGCTTAATAACGTCCTTCCAATCATTGCTCAGTTTGCACTCATCATCTCGGTTGAAGTTGTGTCTGTGTTTAGATATCTGGATGGATTCATGAACAAATCGCTGAAGGTAGCCGGTAGGTTTGCAGAGTACCTCCATCTTACCAGGTAAGGTTGCACTGAGCTGTCGATCTTTTACAGACGCGTACCCGACCATCACAAATGATAGCTCAGCTATCTTGCAATTACTTATCATCACGTGGAAATATCTAGCAGTAGTCAAATACTCTTAAACGCGTGACGTCTATCCTAAATGTGGAGTTGAAAAAACCGAAGGACCACGGGGAGAGAAAAAGAGAGACGCAGACTCCAAATATGCAGCAGGCGTCGTCAGGGTCGAGATCGAACCCACGACCTCCTGTACACCACGCGAGGTAGTCAACATCTCATAGCCACCGTGATGATGATGATGATGATGACGAGAGAAAGAGAGACGCAGACTCCAAATCTACAGCAGCAGCAGGCGTCAGGGTCGGGATCGAACCCACGACCTCCTGCATACCAGGCGAGGTAGTCAACATCTCCTAGCCACCATGGCATCAAGGTCGGGATCGAACCCACGACCTCCTGTATAGCAGGCGAGGTAGTCAACATCTCCTAGCCACCGTGATGATGACGATGATGATGAGAGAGAGAGACACGCAAACTACAAATCTACAGCAGCAGGCATCGTCAGGGTCGAGATCGAACCCACGACCTCCTGCGTACCAGGCGAGGTAGCCTGAGTCACCACACAGACCCAGGTCATTGCGGACAGACAGACAAACCGAGAGAAAGAAAAACGGACGGACGGACGAAGAGACGGACATCCAAACGGACGCACGCACGGCACGCACGGCAGGCCGACGTACGTGAGAGGGCACGGAGGCCGAGAGACGGACGTCGCCAGCCGCGGCGTCCACGTAGACCACCAGCAGGCGCTGGCTGCCGTCGGAGAGGAACCGGCGTGCCGCCAGCCGGTGGTGATCTTGCCAGGCGGCGCCGGACGGTGCCCCGCTCAGCGCCACCCGCGATAGGATAGCGTCGGCCTGGATACGTGCACACGCACGCACACGCATGCACACACACACGCGCACGCACACACACGCACACGCACACACATACGCACACACACACACGCGCGCGCACACACACACATGCACGCGCACGCACGCACACACGCACACACGCACGCACACACACGCACACACACACAGACACACACGAGGCAAAGGCAGAGGTCACCTGGGGCTGTCACACAAATTCCGGTTGTAGTTGCGGCGGCAGCGGCGTTTGGCTGGCCATGTATACTGCGCTTTCGGGTGCAATATACACTACACTATACACTACGCTATACACTATACAATACTATACATTACACTATACACTACACTATACACTACTATACACTACACTATACACTACACTATACACTACACTATACACTATACACTACACTATACACTACTGTACACTACACTATACACTACACTATACACTACACTATACACTACTGTACACTACACTATACACTACACTATACACTACCCACCAACCAACCTCCACCACCAACCAACCAACCACCAACCACCACCAACCACCCACCACCAACCAACCACCACCACCCACAACCACCACCACCACCCACAACCACCACCACCACCCACAACCACCACCACCACCACCACGTGTGTGTGGTTAAAGAATGCCTCACCGGGTCACGTGGCACCTGATCCTCCCCTCCGCTCTGCAGGTGCCCGTCGCTTGTCGCGACGTCTGCACCATCCTCCATGCCTATGAAACAACAACAACAACATAAACAACAACATCAAAACAACAACATCACCATCATCATCGTCACGATCATCATCATCATCATCATCGTCGTCGTCGTCGTCGCGATCCGTGGGCAGATATCGCTGCACCTTTCGTCATTTGTTGATTTGCTCTGGTAGTGGCACCTCATCGTAGTGTATAGTGTAGTGTATAGTGTAGTGTATAGTGTAGTGTGTAGTGTATAGTGTAGTGTATAGTGTAGTGTGTAGTGTATAGTGTAGTGTATAATGTAGTGTGTAGTGTAGTGTAGTGTATAGTGTAGTGTATAGTGTAATGTATAGTAGTGTAGTGTATAGTGTAGTATATAGTGTAGTGTATAGTGTAGTGTATAGTGTAGTGTATAGTAGTGTATAATGTAGTGTATAGTAGTGTATAGTAGTGTATAGTGTAGTGTATAGTGTAGTGTATAGTAGTGTATAATGTAGTGTATAGTAGTGTATAGTAGTGTATAGTGTAGTGTATAGTAGTGTATAGTGTATAGTGTAGTGTATAGTGTAGTGTATAGTGTAGTGTATAGTAGTGTATAGTGTTGTGTATAGTGTAGTGTATAGTAGTGTATAGTGTTGTGTATAGTGTAGTGTATAGTGTAGTGTATAGTGTATAGTGTAGTGTATAGCGTAGTGTATAGTAGTGTATAGTAGTGTATAGTGTAGTGTATAGTAGTGTATAGTGTTGTGTATAGTGTAGTGTATAGTGTAGTGTATAATATTGTAGTGTATAGTGTAGTGTATAGTGTAGTGTATAGTAGTGTAGTGTATAGCGTAGTATATAATAGTGTAGTTTATAGTAATGTAAAGTGTAGTGTATAACAGTGTAGTGTATAACAGTGTAGTGTATAACAGTGTAGTGTATAACAGTGTAGTGTATAGTGCAGTGCATCGTCATCATCATCATCGTCGTCATCACAATCCATGGGCAGCAGCAGCAGCAGCATTAGCAGCTGGTGTGTCCACCGCACATTTCATCATTTGCCGTTTCCACTTTTCTCTCCCTGCCTGGCGGTGCCAACATTGTCAGGTCGTAGTGGCGGCAACATGACATCTTAGGTCAGGTCATTTCTCCGAACAACAACAACCAACAACAACACGTTTAACATTGCTATTGATAATTGTTTTTTTACCCTTCTATCTGGCAACAAAACTGACACCTTTTTTACAAGGAGTCATGTTTGCATAGACCACAATACCTGCAGTCATAATGCAAACAAAAAACACAACTCTGATAATGTATGCACTATCCTTGAAGTTGATTGGTCCACACCCGAGACAGCTTTCCTTAGAGCTCCAACTTCAAGGACAGTGCATACATTATCAAAGTTATGTGTTTTGTTTGCATTATGACTGCAGGTATTGTGGTCTATGTAAACATGACTCCTTGTAAAAAAAAAGGTGTCAGTTTTGTTGCCAGATAGAAGGGTAAAAAAAAACAATTATTATATTTTTTACTGGCAAATGAGGTTCCAATGGTGTCTTTTTATATTAAACCCGATCATCTGAGATTGGGAGAAATCCGGTTTAATTGGTTCTAATTTTCAGAACCGCACTTTGCCAACTTCTCAACGATGGGCTTCATCCATTCCAAGCTAAGGAACTTCACTGGCAGTGCCCACGATTGTGGAGGAGAAGCTCGTGTTCATCTTCTTGGTTCTTTCGGTAAAGTCACGTCGAATGGAAATAATAAAATAATAAAAATAAAACATAATAAAATATTATATTATTTTATTATGTTTCGTTTTAATAATAAAATAATTAAAATAATACATTCCAAAAATTGTTATATTATTTTATTATGTTTTTTTTTATTATTTCCATTCTACGTGACTCTACCGAAAGAACCAAGAAGATGAATCCCTGCAGTCACGAAAGCTTTAAGTCGAAATTTAAGCTCGTGTTCATCAAGACCAACCTGCCCGCCGCATTCTACGACTACCCCGTGCCCGACGCCCCCCCCCCCCCCGAGTACGATAGCAGCACCGACGAGGAAGCAGCCTGAGCCTTGGATCAGAGTTTCGTATTCATTAGACCAGGTTTTAATTCCCCGAAATCGGGTTTAATTGTATTAAAGAAAAAAACCCGATGCCTGCCGCTGAAAAAATCGTGTTTTTTCCACCCATGGGAGGGAGGGGTGGTGTGATGATGATCTCTGTATTTGTGTGTCTCTGTGTGTCTGTGCACACCAATTTAATTACACAGAGTCGCGCCCATTTGACGCTTGGCTGACTCCGTACGCTCGGGAGGGTTACGGGACGCACCCTCAATCCACCCCTTAACCACCACCACCCCCCGCCACCACCACCCCCTCCAAACTCACCTTCACCCATCACCCCGAAATACGAAATCTTAAAATATATTTATATTACTGTTTAATAGCAGTAGCCAAATACACTGAACGCACAGGGACACACAGAGACACGCAGAGAGACATCGAGACACAAAGAAACACACAGAGACCCACAGAGACACACTGAAACCCAGAGACACACATATACCCATAGAGACCCACAGAGACACAGAGACACATAGAGGAACACAGGGACCCATAGAGACACACAAAGACATCGAGACACAAAGAGACACACAGAGACCCACAGAGACACACATAAACCCATAGAGACACACAGATACCCATAGAGACCCACAGAGACACACAGAGACCCACAGAGACACATAGAGGCACACAGGGACCCACAGAGACACACAGAGAGACATAGAGACACAAAGAGACACACAGAGACCCACAGAGACACATAGAGGCGCACAGGGACCCATAGAGACACACAGAGACACAAAGAGACACAAAAAGACACACAGAGACCCACAGAGACACACAGACACCCCCATAGAGACCCACAGAGAGACATAGAGACACACAAAGACCCATAGAGACATATTGAGACCCAAAAATACACAGAGACCCACAGAGACCAATATAAACCCATCGAGATAGATAGAGACTCAAAGAGACACATCGAGACCCAGAGACCCATAGAGACCCACAGCAACACAGATACCCATAGAGACCCACAGAGACCTTCAGAGACCCACAGAGACACACAGAGACCCACAGAGACCCACAGAGACACACGGAGACACATAGAGACAAGTAGATACCCACAGAGACGAATAGAGATCAACAGAGATGCATAGAGACCCATAAACTAAAACTACTAAACTAGTATTTCTTTATTGTAACCAGGTAAGGGGCCCCACCCACTTAGCTGTCTTTTGTTGTTGTCAGAAGCGATCTGGCGATCACAAGTGATGGCTCAACAAAGTGGGCTGATACCATCATCATCATCACCATCATCATCACCATCATAATCACCATCATAATCATCATCATCATCACCACCATCATCATCACCATCATAATCATCATCATTACCATTATCACCATCATTACCATCATCATCATCACCACCATCATCACCATCATCATCACCACCATCATCATCATCATCACCATCATCATCACCACCATCATCATCACCATCATCATCACCACCATCATCATCACCATCATTTTCACCATCATCATCACCATCATCATCACCACCATCATCACCACCATCATCACCACCATCATCATCATCACCATCATCATCACCATCATTATCACCATCATCACCATCATCATCATCACCATCATCTTCATCACCATCATCTTCACCATCATCATCATTACTATCACCATCACTATCATCATCACCACCATCATCATCACCATCATTACCATTATCACCATCATTACCACCACCATCATCACCACCATCATCACCACCATCATCATCATCACCACCATCACCACCATCACCATCATTACCATTATCACCATCATTACCACCACCATCATCATCATCACCACCATCATCACCACCATCATCATCACCACCATCATCATCATCACCATCATCACCATCATCACCACCATCATCATCACCATCATCATCACCACCATCATCATCACCATCATCTTCACCATCATCATCACCATCATCATCACCACCATCATCACCACCATCATCACCACCATCATCATCATGACCATCATCATCACCATCATCACCACCATCATCACCACGACCATCATCATCATCATCACCACCATCATCATCATCACCATCATCATCACCATCATCACCATCATCACCATCACCACCATCATCATCACCACCATCATCATCATCACCATCATCACCACCATCACCACCATCATCATCATCACCATCACCACCACCATCATCATCATCACCATCATCACCATCATCATCACCACCATCATTACCATCATCATCAACAACATCACCATCATCATCACCATGATGATAATCATCACCACGACTGCTGTTGATGCACCACCAGACACACACGGTTACAGTAAAACCCCTTCAACCCACACGAACCACAACTTCCACCCCACCCCATCTCTCTCTCTCGTTATGAAAGACCAGAATCCAACACAGAGGGAAAAGTGGGGCCAGGAACCCTCAGAGTTATTTGCGGCTCTGTAATTAGTCACGGCTACCCCCCTGGGGGCTTTGCTGTGCGTGCGTGCGTGAGACACAAAGATCCCCCGTGTAGCCTCAACAGACTGCTGGGGCAAGTGCTGTTAGTAGCGAGTAGCAGCAGCAGCTATGAAGGTAGACACAGACAAAAATCCCCCGTGTAGCCTCAACAGACTGGGTGGGGTAAGTGCTGTTAGTAACGAGTAGCAGCAGCTATGAAGGTAGACACAAAGATCCCCCGTGTAGCCTCAACAGACTGCTGGGGCAAGTGCTGTTAGTAGCGAATAGCAGCAGCATCTATGAAGGTAGATACAGACAACGATCCCCCGTGTAGCCTCAACAGACTGCTGGGGCAAGTGCTGTTAGTAGCGAGTAGCAGCAGCACCTATGAAGGTAGACACAGACAAAAATCCCCCGTGTAGCCTCAACAGACTGCTGGGGCAAGTGCTGTTAG